CTAGGAGAAAGAAAGAAAGAAAGAAAGAAAGAAAGAAAGAAAGAAAGAAAGAAAGAAAGAAAGAAAGAAATATCGTTTAGAAAGGGAATTGCAATTAATGAAGAAAGAAAGAGAGGAAAAGTAAATGAGAGAAAGGCGATCAAGATGAAAGAAAGGAAGAAAACGCTCTAGGAGAAAAGAAAGAAAGAAAGAAAGAAAGAAAGAAAGAAAGAAAGAAAGAAAGAAAGAAATATCGTATAGAAAAGGAATGGCAATGAATGAAGGAAGGAAGGAAGAGAAGAAAAGTAATTGCGAGAAAGGCGATCTAGATGAAAGAAAGAAAGAAAGAAAATGATCCGCGAGAATTTGAGAAAGAAAGAAAGAAGAAAAAGAAGAAAGGAACAAACAAACAAAAGAAGAAGAAACATTTTTAAAAAGAAATTCATTGAAAAGAAAGAAAGAAAAGAGAAAGAAAATGAATAAATGAAAGCAAGGAAAATAGTGAAGACAAAAGTAGGGAAGAGAAAAAACAAAAGAAAGAAATAATTGGAGAAGGAAAAATAGAAAGAAAGAAACAAACAATAAAAGATAGAAAAAGATAGAAAGATAGAAATAAAGAACGAAAGACAGAAAGAAAGAACAAAAGACAGAAATAAAGGATGAAAGAAAAAAAAGAATAGGAAAAAGCGAAGAGGGAAATTAAAAGAGAAAAAGAAATGTGAGAAGAAAACATTAAAAGAGGATAATAGAGAAGAGAAAAAATTTAAAGAAAGAAAGAAGCGAAAAAAAAGAAAGAAAAAAATGAAAAAAAAGAAGAGGAAAATTTTTGATCCATTTTTCTAAAGCGACTATATGAGAGAAGAGAAAAAAAAAATTAAAAAGACAGGAAAAGAGGAAAGAGAAATAAATTCAATAGAAATACACTGAAAACAAAGAATTAATTAATTAATGAATACAAGAAAAAAGAGGGAAGGAAAGACGAGAGAATTTAAAAAGATGGAAGAAAAAAACAAAGAATATAAATAAAAAAACATAAAATGGAGAATAAAAGCGAATGAAAGAAAAAAAGTTGAAAATATAGAAGAAAGAAAACACTGTAAAGAAAGAAAAGAAATTAATAAGAAAGAAAACACTAAAATAAATGAATAAATAAGACGAAAAATCAGGACTCTAAAAAGAAAACTTTAAAATGGAAGAGAAGAAGGGGGAATGAAAAGAGAAAAAAATGAGAAAAAGAGAAAGAGAGAGAGAGGAGGTAGAGAGAAGGAAAAAAAACACAGGTTTATACTTTTCTTCATTTACTACTTTGTCCTTGATTTGAAAATTGCCACCACATTTTGTCTGGTGCTCCTGCTATATATTTACAGACTTTTGTTAAAATTCGAAGAATCTGCAATGTTATTGGCCCTGACCTAGAATCTTGCATTCAGTCACTTTTCCACTGCTGTAACGTAACGCTCATCCTGCCTTTTCTATACAATACTTTCATGGTACCCCTGTTCTGACAAACTTTCTTCTATGGTACCTAGATTTTATGAAGCGTAATACTAGATTGTCGTCAAGGTTTCATAATTTTACAATTAAAAATGTCTAAATGCAATCGTAAGTTCTAACAATTTCTTCTTTCGCACTTTTCACCTGTGGAACACTCTTATGGGTTTTGCTTACCTGACAACTTTAATCATCAAAAATTTAAATGCAATGTAAGTCGGTATCTGTCTTCTCAAATGTTGTTCTTTTATTCTCTTTCTTTAATTATATATTTTCTCTTATTCTATACCACTAAGTAATCCCTTGTGTCTTAGTGGCTGTATTGCCTTGATTGGGGTCAAATGTTTTAAAAAAGATCATGGTTGACTCACCACTTAGCTAGAGTTATGTATTAATCTCTCTTTAGCAATGGATGCACCTCCAAAATTCTAGATTACCAGAGCCTGATAGCTGATCTCTCATATTATCTAGCTCTAAAAACACAATAGGGGAAAACTGGTTAGTCACATTCATTCCGCTCAGAAATCAAACAATTAACGTTCCATCATCACCGAGCAGCTCCTGAACTTTCCTCTATCGCAATAAACTGGTGTTATCTCAAGAAGGCCCCATTGCTTTGAATTGGGACAAGTTTTGTCCAGACTTCACGTTGAATGATCGAGCTCCCTGTACCACTCCAGTAAGTATCTGATTCATCCTGATATGCTCTACCTTTACAAGAACCGAAAATGGAGCACGGTTGCCATATATCAGTTGGAGCTACATATTCTTCTCTTTCCATTTTTGATCCATTTTTCTAAAGCGACTATATAGCCTTGTGAGTAATGAATAAGTTCACTCCATGCAATCCTTTTCCCACAAACGCTATTTCCAGGGAAAATATTCAGACGAGCTGCATTCCTTAGTTTCACCAATCCTAACCGTCAGAGCCAAGACCTAACCGTGTGATGACACTGTATCGAACCACCCCCCTCATTCGTATTCCATCAGTGAGAAGTAGGTTCCCTTCGAACAGCTTCCCGCCACGAACAGTTTCTTTGTGGAACCACTGCCAAGACGATGATTTTTCGACTACTACAATCTTGACCTGTTCGAATCAAGGGCCAACTAGTATCTTTCCCATATATCCATAAACAGCGCCTCATACCCTCTTAGGCCCACGGCTTACGTATGAAATTTCTTCGATAACCTTCTTAATTGAGTGAAACCTAGTAAAAACAAAAATTGCTGTGATCAACTTTTTGGATAAAAGTAAAAAAAAATATTTGTTTTATTAAGCTTAAGTAAAATTCGAAAATAATCTCAATACTATCTGACAAAAGATATGCAATTTATCTAACCATGAAGCTGATAATGGTGTAGCCTGATTGCAACACCGATTGAGGTAAGAGGTAAGTTTATATCGATTAATAGGCTGATAATCGGAATCAACAAGGCCGATTAACCAGCAATTGATATTTTGTGGGGTCGATTTCTTAGTCGACCACTCTTATTTATTCCATCAAAGAAAGATACGGACAGAATGAGATAGATAGATAGATAGATAGATAGATAGATAGATAGATAGATAGATAGATAGATAGATACGGATATATTGAGATAGATATGAATAGACTAACATAGATAGATAGATAGATAGATAGATAGATAGATAGATAGATAGATAGATAGATACAGATATATTGATATAAATATAGATAGATAGATAGATAGATAGATAGATAGATAGATAGATAGATAGATAGATAGATACGGATATATTGATATAAATATAGATAGATAGATAGATAGATAGATAGATAGATACGGATATATTGATATAAAAATATAGATAGATAGATAGATAGATAGATAGATAGATAGATAGATAGATAGATACGGATATATTGATATAAATATAGATAGATAGATAGATAGATAGATAGATAGATAGATAGATAGATACGGATATATTGATATAGATAGATAGATAGATAGATAGATAGATAGATAGATAGATAGATAGATCTGAAAAGTCTGAATTCCATAAATAATACGCATAATGACATACAATGTATTTTGCTGTGAAGTTTTATTTAAGACGCTAGTCTATCAACTGATTACCTTTTTATATTTAAATCTGATGAGGGCTTCAAATTTGTAGCTTTGTGCCAGCCTAATCTTTACTCATTATTTATTTACTCACGGATTTTGAAAATTAATACGTCAAATGCATTTGTGCGTCTTTACAAATCCTTTCACTGTGCGCCCAGCATAGTTGTCAAGTGCATGACCTTATCTGCAAATATCCTATTATACACAGTGACCCTCCTGCCGCTTACTTATTACTACATAATATTGAAAACTGTGCTGATTTTAGAGAATTACCTATTTGGGTTTCAGGGAGGCGTTGACAAGCACTGTCAAAGGATTGATCAATGTTGTGTAGCCATATCAACCAGCCGCCATTATTTGTCAAGGCCAGTGCCTCTAGCACGCACACGTGCGTAACAAGTGTGCCTGGCGCACATGTTTTTTTTCTGTTTTATGCACCGTGTGCGTGGATGTCGGCACGATTAGTTTTCATGGTTTGTTTTCGCTTTTTTAAAATTATTTCCCGGATGTGTTTTATGTCTTTGTAATTCAGTTTCATATCATTTCCTATCACGAATTATTCGCGCAAGTCACAAGTCTCTCTGAAACGAAACTGGATCAGTTAAGATTTACTGTGATCAAGGTGTAACTACTATCTTGACATTGGAATCAAACCAAAAGTTTTTCCTTTTTTATATTTTTACAATATTCTTGACTTCCCCTTTCTTTTGGGTTTGATATTAATAGTATTTTTCACTCACTCCACATAGTGACATAGATAGATAGATAGATAGATAGATAGATAGATAGATAGATAGATAGATAGATAGATAGATTTTTTAAGCAATTCACCCCAAGCAAGGCGGGAGTATCACTAGATAGATATGAAAAGACTGTGATAGATAGATAGATAGATAGATAGATAGATAGATAGATAGATAGATAGATAGATATGAAATTATCATTTTTATACGTCATTTTTTCTTGTTTATCTCTCTACGATTTTTATTTTGTTTGTTTCATTATGATTTACAGTATATCAACCTCAATGGGTTATTTAATGCCGACAAGATTTTTATTGTTGGTATTTTTTTTTCAAAAATGTATTGCTGGTAATTTTTTTCTTTTTCAGAAATATATTGCTGGTAATAAAATCTGTTGTCACATTTTTATAGTGTTTTGACACCAGTTTGGAGGTTAATTATTTGCCAATGGCTGTGACTCTAACAAGTGCTACCACCCCGGGTCAGTGTGGACCCGGGATCACCAGCATTTAAGAGGTGGTTCTACGCTCCTCAAAATCTACTGATCAGAATTCCTGCCGTATTGTAGTTTTTAAAAAAAAACCCAGGAGTCAACATTGGTGGTGATTGGTTTCTATAACCTCTCTGCAGAGGTACAGTCAGCATATTCTGAAGGCCCAGTCGACAGGGCGAGATGAGGAGCTATGATCGAGTCACTGTGGAGTAATGGTTAGCGGCCCCGAGAGTTCATTACATTAACTTGCATGTGGATAGTATGAATCAATTTCTTCCACCATCTAGGAGTAAATAGCAGGGCAGACTGGTTCCTATAGCCTTGGTTTGCAACCAGTCTAGAAGAGGGAAAACTCTGATTTCAAACCACCTGCTGCCTTATACGTCTTTAGGCAAAGACTAGAAGAAGGTACCTTCAAAAACAAATCCACCTCGTATGGATTTTAAAACAAAGGAACTGCCCTCTCTCCTTCGAACCGCGTCAGAAAATAACGTGCTTAGTTCAATGGTCATGACTCCGTGGACCTCTCTGATCTCAGACCATTCGTCTATGGGTGTATCACCCACGGCACTTTAGACGACGATATTCGGAATATTGTCCCCCTCTTTGTTGCTGTTGCCTCAACGTTTCAACAGTTGTAACCTCCGGTCTTCATCAGATATACATCGATCAGGGTAATCTACAGGGAATTCTGAACTGAAACCTTCATTTAATCCAATTTGACCTGTCCTCTTGCTGAAAACCATACGTTCTCTTTTCTTTCAATTGATAGTCATTTACTCTTGCATCCCTTCATTACACTGTACAGAAAGTCTTGAACTTATCTTTCTGCGTCTGTCATCAACGCAATGTCAGCTGCATATCTTATATTGTCAAGATAGCGCCCACCAATACTAAATCCTGGTAGGACATTTAGTTTTCTTAGGATAAATGTTTGGATAAATCCAATTTGTCCTTATGTTTAACACAAAAACAGAGAATGTCTCATATCGAGAATATTTAACATTGAAAAACATAAGGAAAAAATTAATTATCTTTAATAATATGTAGAAATCTCCGCTTTTACCTGAAGACGATCGCGAGACCAGAAACACGTGTAGTAAAATTATGGAAAATAAAGCATAATATTTTTTTCTAAAAAAAAACACATTACAACCAAAAACGTTTGCGGTACCTCTTTTCTTTTCTTTTTAATATACATACTTTTCTCTCGTTGGAACCACTACAACCTCTTTCTTTTTATATATATATATATATATATATATATATATATATATATATATATATATATATATATATAGACTGGATGTAACAGCAAAATTGTCCCTATCGTGTCACATCATAATTATCCATCCCACAAAATGTATAATATCTGAAAAAAAAAAAAAAACACTAAAATAACTGAGTTTATTTTTTCCAGTATTTCAGTTAAGGCATTTAGCCATCATGACACCATTTGTCGTAAGAATCACTGAAAAAAACTTTGAGTTATTCAGCTAAAAAGAGAACAGGTTAAAATATTTTTGTGTCAGCTCCACTGTCTTCCCAAGTGAGCAATGGTGAAAGGAAAAATATCATTCAGGCCTTCAGTAATGGTCTCAATATTCATACTCTGGCATCCACCATCAAAATCCATTCAAGATCCATCGAGCGAACGGTGAATAACTTTTAAAGAGAAGGAACAGTAGAGAGGAAAACTGGATCAGGTCACAACAGCAAGAGGGATCATCATTTCAAATTAGTGCTAAAGAAATCAATTAGAAAAGATCCTAATTAATCCATATGATGTTTGGCACGTGGGAGAGGAATTTCAGCTATAACAGTCCAAAGAGCAATGAAAAAAGACTTGAAAATGAAATCGTACATGAAACCTATGACGCACCTTGTTACTCCAGGACAGAAAGTCAAAAGGTGAGAGAGGTCGAAGATCATCTTGATTGAGTTTGAAAATATCTTTGGAAATATATATATATATATATATATATATATATATATATATATATATATATATATATTTATGCTCTTCTTTTGTATCGAGCAGTATTTTTAAAAAAATAACAAAAATACTAAAGAACTTTGGATTATTTACCTAACGAGTTCTTTCCTATTTTCTATATATTTTTCACATACATACACACACACACACATATATATATATTTCAATCCTTCATGAGCTTCCGATGCTTAGCTATGATTAATTAATGGTGAACAAGTCATTTTTCTTTGTGAGCGATTTCATCACGACTTTGGTGATGAGCTTGGAGAGTAATTATACATTCTTATTGCTCGAAGTAGAACCCAACAGTGTTATAAAAAATCGGAGAATTCCAGTCGAATATCTTTAATCATTTCTAATTGGCCAATTTTCGTTACACCCAGTATATATATATATATATATATATATATATATATATATATATATATATATATACACACACACACACACACGAAGAATTATCATTATAAAGTGTTCATTTTTTCTGTAAAGTGTTGAATGTTCCTTTCTTTACTAAACACGCGCTGCATCAATTTCCCAAATGTTCAACGTGTCATGTCGGCAAAAATGCAATCAATAAAGAAGTACTGAATGCTCCTCGTATGTAAATTTCACGCATAGTGCTTCTTATTATGGAGAATTGATTCACCATTCCGATGTTAAATATGGCTACTTCCACCTGATAACTTTTTACTCAAAAAGTCACCTTGAACCCTGACTATTTGGGGGCGGTATTATCTGAAATAAAAAAAAAATGGTAGAACGCTTTGAGAATCTTCACGAAAAATTAACTGCATAACAAGCTGAAAAAGTAAATTTCCTTGGAGTATTCATCGAGTATAACGTGTAATTTTGTCTCAGTTTTCGAACGGCATTAGGAGTCTTTAGTTTGTTGATTTTATTTAAAAAATATTTCACCTCAGTCGTGGCACTAAGACGAAAAACGATTACTGAGTGTTAGAGAATATGAGAAAAATAATTTAAAGAAGAAAGAACATTAAAAAGAACAAAAATTAAGTAGATAACGACTTACATTTCATTGAAATGTTTGAAGATCAAATTGGGAAAGGTCAGCATCGAACTTACGGTTAAACCTAGCCACTGCAATTGTAAAATAATGAGACCTTAATGAGACCAATCTAGTACTGCGCTCAAATTCATATAGACTATATACAAGAGATGGAAGCTCATCAGAATAATTACCATGACAGTATTTCTAGAAAAGGCAGAGGGAAGTTACGTTACTATAGTGGAAAAGTGGATGAAATCAGGGTGCCAAGTTAGAACCAATAACATTGCAGATTTTTCTTTGGATTTTATCAATAATCTTCATATATATATATATATATATATATATATATATATATATATATATATATATATATATATATATATATATAAGCATTAGAAGCCGGTTCAAGCAAGGATATACAAGTGATAGAAATTAGGAGGATTTCAGATAATTTTAATTAAGTAATTCATCGAGTCTAGAAGAAACCTCAACAGAAAAAAACCTTCTAATGCTCTGGATGGAGTGACGTGGGGACAGTAGTCGTAGCTCGTGGGGGCACAGTCCTATGGGTAAGAAAGAAATTCGGATGAGTTCCACCACGGAAGATGTGATCGAGCGGCGCTATATCGAGTCTGATTCGTTACCTGCTCGTCACCGAGGCCCATTGGAACAGTTGGCATGACCTTTGCCTGATAACACAACTGTCCGGGTTTCAATTCTCGGTAGTGGATGCGTACTGTTGATGAGTCCCAAATATAGGACGAAACGGCCGTTCAGTGCTTTATGCATTCTGTTGAGGTTTCTTCTAGACTCGATGAATTACTTAATTATAATTATCTCAAATCCTCCTAATTTCTATCGCACACACACACACACACACATATATATATATATATATATGATGGATTCTCCCGTCGGTTTCGACGTAGGATGATCTGACAACTTAACCAATTCATTTAGTTATGAATTTTGTGCGATAATCTTAAATGGCACTTAAGACCCGCTAGTGATTTACAAAGGAGGCAAAATATGGAACAAGAGTGTGGATTGTGGGATGAGATCACTGTTAGATTGGCTGACCTTTTAGAACTTGCTCTCGCTTGTTGAAGACGAGTCAGACTAGCAGATTGAAAACTGACGAGTCCAATAAAATACATTTATCTCCACTCTACCCGCTCCAAGGCTAAGCGCTAGAGAGTGTTATGAGGTATATTGACAGCTGACAAGTTGCTTTTCACCTTGTCTTTGTATCAAAGCCATGGGCGTCCTACATTCTTGTAGCCCTGAACTAACTGGCAGTATATTAGGATCTTGGGTACCCTGTCATCAGATATTCTCAAGACATGACCAATCCACCGTAACTAAGACTGTATAAGGAAAGTCTCGATTCCTCCAATAATACACCTGTTAAACAGGTCTACGTTAAATGTCCTATCATGAAGGCTAACTCCACAGATGTCACGCAGACAGCTCTTATGGAAAACATATATATATATATATATATATATATATATATATATATATATATATATATATATGGGGGTTATATTTTCGAAATTTGGCATTATTATTATTCATAAGCTGACTCAGAGAACTGTCAAAATCACTCATCCATATAAAATAATTACGTTTTCATATGCGCAATTGTTTTTATGTTTGATAAACATTGCCTATGAAAATACAGTTTATCCTGTTATTGTTACATGCTACACT